ATTTTGCTTTCTAAAAATGATGTTGGAAAAAATATTTTGTACATTGTAAAGATGTACAGTAATTAAATGTAAATAAAATGTATAAAAGAGCAATATTTTTAGAAAACAAAAAATATTAAAATTTAGAAAAGAAAATGTGTTCAAATCATGGTAAAAACATAGTATTCTAAACTGTTCAAAGATATATTACAAATAAATGTAAAGTTACCATAAAAATAAGAGTTCAAAGATTTGAATTCCCAGTTCGAGCATCATATAAATTACCTGAAAGTTTCCGTGTCTGCCTTGAAAAATACCTTTACCTCCTATACCCACAGAGCTGAGACTGCTAAAGACCAAACTTGGAATACTGTTCTTTATGAGAGGATAAATTACAATGAAAATTGAATTTCCAACTTGGCAGGGTGTTTGCTGTTAAAGTGAGGTCACTATGAAGGAATGGGATTCTGAAATTGAAATGGGAGACATATAGGAGGAAGCTGGGGGTCATTGTACCCCTAAATTCTTACAGGTCTTCTTTGTCATTAGAAGCAGCTACTCCGGGGACCAGCAGTTGGAGTAATGGCTACGCCACTGGACTCCCATGTAGTTGACCGCGATTCGAGTCCCGGACCTGGTGGCTTAAACTCACACCGGGTATGTGCACATGCGTGCCCAAGATCCCAAGAGAAGAATGGAGGAGAAGGGATTACACCGTGGTCATCCCCTCTGGGGGGTGATTTCCTGCTTTCTATCTCTCTGTCTCTCTCTGTCTTTCTGGCGAGCGCACACACCCAGTAAGAAAAAAACCTCTCTAAAAAAAAAGGCAGCTACTCCATCCCTATCTAAAGAGATTAATCTTACTTTGCTTGAGGAATCTGGCCTTCTCTGAGGTACTTGCCTTGTAATACCAACCTGATTCATTCCTATCACTTCTCTTTGCTTCTAGACCTAATAACTAGACTCAAGTCCAGCAAGCTCCTAAAAGATGAGGTATAAAGTATGACCCATAAGGAAGTGCTCTACACTAAAAAAAGAACAACATGAGTTTCCCAGTTTACACAAAAATCCAAAGGATATGTGTGGGAATGAATATTTAAGGTATGAGATAATGGTAGAAGGAAAAAAAAATGTACCCAGCATGTTTTCCAAGCTGCCCAGTCCAGAACGAACAGTGCAATTAGCCGTGTGGGATCTAGCTACCTAAAACTCCACACCATCTGCTGACCATAGAAAATGTATATCTTTTCCGCCTTTTCTTACCCTCTTATTTTTCTCTGTGTGCATGTGTGTGTACATGCATGCATATAGGCATACATATATATGTAGTATTTTAGACAGGGACTTGCTCTGCTGCAGTCCTTCTGTCTCAGCCTCTTGAGTGTCTGGAACCACAGGCACATACTACCATGCCTGGCTCCTTTACAGGAGCTCACCATGTTGCCATGCTATATTACCCTCCTGTCTCAGCTATTCTTCCCCTACCCAGTATCTGGGATTACAAACATGATCCACCATGCCTAGCTTTTCAAGGTGGACCAAGAGTCAAACTTGAGTCTCCCATGTAGCCTCAGTTTGCCAGGAAGCAGTATCCAGTGTACACTACTTTAGCTGAACTTCTTATTGCCTTATTATGAACATAAAATGTACAGACTTTATATCATAATATTTAAGTATTGTTAACTTTACATTGTAATATTTAAGTTACAGGAAAGCAAAGAGAAGAGTAAATTTACCCAAACATTTTGCATCGTCTTCTGGGGAAAGGGCTAGTGCATTTTTTTATTGTATGAAAGATGCTTACATCATCCCTGGTGAAACTAAAACCTTTTTATTAAGTCTATTTTGAAATTATGTATGTTTTTAGGCAATGTGTATGAGTGGAGAGTTGACAAAGAGTGGATTATAATGGTTAATTTTATATATTAACTTAGCTAGGCCATAGTACTAGACATTTGGTCAAAAAGCAGTCTGGATGTCACTGTGAAGGTATTTTTCAGATGAAATTAACCTTTAAATCAGTAGACTTTGAGTAAAACAGATTACCTTCCATAATGTGGGTGGCTCTTATCTAATTAGTTAAAGGTCTTAAGAGAAAAAGGCCTATGTTCCTGAAGAAGGAATTCTGCTTCCAGGTTGCCTTCTGCCTTAAGCTACAACACTAACTCTTTCTTGAGTCTCCAGTCTACCTGTCTGTCTTCCATATTTCAGACTTGCTAATCTCCACAATAAGTTGAGATAATTCCTTAAAATAAAATCCCCCCTTTCTGTGTTTGTCTCTTTATAAACATACACACCTGATTGGTGATTCTTTGGAGAACTGTAACAGACACAAATTTAGAGGAAAATATCTATGTTAGATGAAATTGATATTTTCCTAACCCTTAACCATTTCTACCTAAAACCATCTAAGTCTTTAATTAAGATTTAAATCCCTTAAAATATTAATATATTTTGAGGATGAGCATTTAGGAAAACATAAGATAATCATTCAAAATTACTAGCGGTTAAAATACAAATAGGCATTCATTTGTTGGAATGTTCAATGTTTTTCTATTGTAATTTTAGCTAGTGAATGAAGTGATTTTTAAAAACTTGCTATAGGGCACAAGTGCTCACCAGAGAGAGAGACAGAAAGACAGGGAAAGTGAGAAAGCACCCTCTAGGTAGTATAGCCATGATACAATCGCTTCTCTTCCATTCTCCTCAGGATTTGGGGCATGCATGTACACATGCCTGTCATGTTTTATAAGCTGCCAGTTCTGGAACTCGAATAGTGCAGTCTGCCATGTGGGGTCCAGCCACCTTAACCACCATGTCACTGGCAGGCCTGAAGTGATTTTTTAAAGGACACAAAAAATAACAAAACAATAACAGCAATAATAACAAAGCTTTCATAATCTCAAGACCCAAGGTATATACAAGGGGTCTTCAAAAAGTTAATGGAAAATGTCTATTATGTAAAAACTACATATGGATTTCAAAAAAATTTTGCACTAAAATAAACTAGTATTCCATTTTCTCATGAACTTTTTAAGGTCCCCTTGTACATAATTTTCTGCTGGATAAAAATAGGCTTAATACAGAGATCGAGAGGGAGAAGGAGCTAAAAAGATTATTAGATACTCAAAAGTATTTCCTTGAGTCAAATACAGAATCTTGTCAAACGGTTTTTGAAAGCCTGTAAGCTAACCTAGAAATGTCAAAACCCTAGAACAGAGGAGGCAATTCTGAAAATAATTATGGGAAAAAATGTATTTCTTGCTACAGTTATTACTAAGTAACCCTTTTGTAAAATAAGGAATATTCTTAGACTCTTACACTTCAGCCCAAAAAGGAACTTTCTTCTATGTGACTAGCATATTCTAAAACTGATTTCTTAACTTTACCTTTGGAAATAAAGGAAGATTTTCTCTCTTGCTCTCTCTCTCTTTGTGTGGATGTGTATGTGTATGTGAGATGAAGGAAAGTGCAGCATTATTGCAATGTGCAAAGAAAGGAGAGTGGGTAGCTCATGGCTGAAAGGACTCAATCTCCCTGAGGTATTCCCCACATGCATTTTTAAGGGCAAAATTAGAGGCAAGGGAATATTTTCTCTTTAGCTTAGGCCTTAAAATCCAATCTTCTTATTTTAAATTGAACAAACTGAAACTAGTCTATGTTTGTGACTTGCCAGTCCTAGAGTCTCATAGCTAAGTAGAAGTATACTCATTCTACCATGTCTTTTCCATAATGGGTTCTTACACCCTCTATGGGCTGTTTTAGTTGGTGAATAACTATATTTGTGTTTTTGTTTGGGTTTAGTTTGGTTTTTGCTGTTGTTGAGGGATGCAGGCTGGTATCTCCTATTCTGCTACCTTGGTGATCTCACTGTCTACTGTGTCTTCTCTGGTTTAAACTTGTATATACTGATTTTCACATCAGAAAAGAAGAGAAATATACTATGTCAGTGCAATTATGAGGGACCTGGCATATAGCCTAACATACTGTAGTTGGCACATGATTTAGTGCATACCAGGTTCCAAAGTCAAACTAGTGACAGCAGCAACTTTTCTTCATCTCACTACTAGTGGTTCTTCTATCCTTTACAGTATCCCCCTGCTCTGAAAACTAGTAAAACAGCAGCAACAAACTTTTTTTTTTGAAGAGGTTTTTGCTATAGGGCTCATGCACTCTCCAGAAAGAGAGAGACAGAGAGACAGAAACCAAGAAATCACCCCCTGGGGGAATGGCTATGCTGCTATCCCCTCTGCTCCTTTCTCCTCTTGGGATCTTGGGCACTCATGCACACGTGCCCGGTGTGAGTCCAGGACTTGAACTGCGGTCGACTACATGGGAGTCCAGTGACATAGCCATTATGCTAACTGCTGGTCCCAGCAACAAACATTTTTAAAATAAAGGCTTTTCAATGATGTCACATGGTCAGATTCCTTTTCTAATTCTAAAAACTACTCACTAAATTAATACTATCTTTCCCTTACAGTGACTAAAGTGTTTGAATTAAAAAAAAATCACAGAACTTCATTTGAAAGTTTCTACTGATATACTTTTTTTCTACAAAAAGAATGGTACATGGGGCTAGCAGATGGTGTAGTGGTTATATCACTGGACTCCCATATGGTTGATCACAGTTTGAGTCCCAGACTCACTGGCTTCCAAATCACACCAGGTATATGTGAGTGCATGCCCAAGATCCTAGGAGGAGAATAGAGAAGGAATTGCAGCATAACACCTTCCTGCCTCCCTCAGGGTTATTTTTTACTTTCCCTCTCACTTTATCTGTCTCTCTTTCAGGCAAATACATGTGCCCTTAGGCAAAAAATTCTAAAAAATAAAAAGAATAATACAAATTTACCTATACCTCTACAAAAGAAGTCCCCTTCTTAACCTCTTCATCTAATTAACTTCTGGTTATCACTTCAGATTTCGATTTAATCCACGCTTCCTCAAAAAGGCTGACTTTGGCCAATTTTTGCTATACAAAATCAATTATTTTGTATAGCACCTCTTCTGTTTCTTACCAGGTCCCGTTGGTCCTCCTGTACCAGATCCATTTTGTGCACCAAGCAAAAGATTTTGGCATCTGGAGAGTTCTGCAGAATGGCCTCCAGGCATGATTGGTAATAGTGCATGTCCTTTTCTAGTTCACGGCTCTCCACATCAAAGACATAAATCAGAACTTCCACATTTCGGAAGATATTGTCCCGTTGGCTAGTGAAATAATTTTCCATGAAGGTATCTTGTCTGGAAGAAAAAAAAATCTAGATAGTAAAGAAGTCTTCAGTTCAATCACTTTCTGATTGAACTATGATCTATTTTTGTTAGCTTGATCTATGCAAAAGATAATCTTAAGACTTCAACTTCAAATGGTAACAAAGAGGTCTGGCCTTCATATCCTTTGAGTTGCATCTTACACCACTGTCTGCCCTTCTCCTTGTGATCTAAAACTCTGACCTTCTCAGTCCTTTGAGTGGCTCAAGGGGTCCTTACACATGCTGTTCATTGAGTCTCAAATGCTGTCCCCTTCTTAAACTCTTCATCTAATTAGCCCCTGCTTATCACTTTAGATTTCAGGTAATCCATGCTCCCTCAAAAAGTCTGACTTTGGCCAATCCACTCACCAATACATTACTCTTATTTCCCACACTTACCACAAGTGTGATATTACACTTGCTTGTGTTTTTAATTAACTGCATTCATTTCCCTAAAGAGCAAGGACTGTGTCTGATACTATTTTCCACTGTTCTTCAGATTCTAATAGTGTTAGGTGCTGAATGAACATTAGCTGAATGAATAACTCAATAGTCAAATACTATATATGACAATGACTCCAATGACAAGTTTTTAGCAGAATGTTGTTCTTTCCTCCTTAGGCTATATGCCACTTCCCCAGAAGTTCTCAATTATCAACTGGCTAGCAGAAAACAATAGCACTGTGTAGTAGGGAAAAAAAATCATGAACCTAAGTCTAGTTCCTATCCTTTCTCATCAATTATCTGTGTGATCTTGGGAGAATCACAATCCCTCTGGACCTCAATTGCCCAATGTGTAAAAATGAATATCATATCTTGGGCCTCAGGCGGCACGGTGGTTAAGGCACTGAATCCCACATGGCCAACTCTATGAGTTCAAGTCCTGGACCCAGTAGCCTGAAAAGCATGTCAGGCATATGTGTGTGTGTTCAAAATCCCAAGAAGAGAAAGAATGAGAAGGTACTGTGGCATGGCCATTCTACTTTGAGGGTGATTTCTCTCTCTCTCTCTCTGACTCTCTTCAGTGAGTAAATGTGCCCTATGGCAAAAATCTTTTTGAAAAAAATGAAGATCATATCTTAGTGTCTAAAAGCGAAGCACTCATCTCTTGGTACAGATTAGAGAATTGAAAGCAATAATGATGAGGAAATACTTGTCTTCCTTGTATTGCCTTAGGGCATATGTACTTGCCAGAGAGATGGAGAGAGAGAAAGCATCCCCTAATGGAGTGTGGTCAGGCTGCAATTTCTTCTCCATTTCTCCAACATATCAGGATTTTTAGCATGCACACACATGTACCCAACATGTTTTTCAAACCACCAGGGCCAGCACTTAAATTGTATGACTGGCCATATGGGATCTGATTCCCTTAACCATGAAGATGGCCCAATGAAGAAGAATTCATTCGGAGAGAGCTGCTAGTGTGTTAAGTGGTGCATGTGCTAGCAGTAATGAAGCAATTTTTTTATAGAGTATTTGGCTATTCTTTCAACAAATATTTATTGAGCATCAACTTTATGGTTGGCTCTATGCTAGGAACTGGGAAACACAGAGCTAATAATATTTACTTATTTTATAAGGCACTTTGTGATGTATTTTTTGTATATATTATCTAACTTAATCATCAAAAGAACTCTATTGTACAGATGAAGAAACTAGCTCTAAGAGTTTAAATGATCTAAGACAATATAGTTAACAGAGCTGAAATACAAACTTCAATCCAACTCTAGAGCCTATGCTCTTAAACACTGTGCACTACACACTGCTGCTATTGCACAGAGATACAAATGACCATAGGATAGGGAGCAACTCAGCATGAGTACACTGTGTGTGCATTTGTATTGGGATATTTAGTGAGTGCCTTGCTCACAGGAGGAAGAGCTTTCATTTATTCTAAGTAACTCAGCTAGGGAAAAACAAACAAACAAAAAAAACATGCTCAGGGTCTGATCTACAGTGCTGAAAATGCCTAGAGAGCATTACTGAAATAACTAAGAACAAAGAGGTACAGAGGGCCAGCTAAGAGTTCAGCATTGGTGTTAGGCCATCAGCCAGAAACTTAATTTATTTGCCCGAAGAAGAGAAGAGGAGATACTCTATCCCATACTACAGATACTTAGATACCTATAGATATCTGTGTTGGTGCTACTTAAACATATGACATACAGATGAAATTTTAACAATTACATAAAAGTCAGAAATTTTAAAATTCCAATTTTAAAGTAATTTCTATTTAATATATCTATTACAAATTATAGTTACCCTAGGTATATTGGCTGCTACTATTATACTAGATGCTATAATAACAGTCATTGGCTTCATAAATAAGTAAGCAAATGCTACTCACCCACCACAGTCCCACAGGTTCAGTACCAGGTTTCCCAGAAATCGAACGTGAGAATGTTCTACATCAACTGGAAGACAAATACAATGTATCTAGTAATTGTAGCCTGCAAGGTAAAATCAAAAATATGCAAAGCACTAACCCACGGAATTTAGAAGGACCAAAAGTGGAGTGAAATGCTCAAAGCCACAAGAAGGTGATTTTCAGCTTAGTAGTATGGTTTAGTTGGCAAGGTGGGTACCTCAACTACCCTGAGCTACAGAACTGGAACTCATGTGAGTCATTTCATTTTTTAGTAGTTTAGTACTTAGAGCAGAACAATCTCCAATTACAACACTAATGTTAAAACTTCAACATGTAAGACAGAGACATATACTACTTAATAGATTTTCCCTGTCCCACTTGCCACCACTAACTTTCCCACACAAAAATAACAAAACCAAACACACACACACAAAACATATAAAACATAATCAAACTCCCACTATTGATTTCCTTTTTCGTTGATGACCCTACCTTTTCCTCACTTTTGATTCTCTATCCACATTCAATTCATTGCTAGTACTTCATAAGCTCTCTCAATTCCATTCTTTATCTTACAACCCACCACTAGCAGTAAGGAAGTCCCTTATCATCTTGTGCCTACCTTACTCCATAACTAACCTCCCCAACAGAAAGTCTTATTCCTCTAGACTATTAACAGGCTCATCTTAACACTACTTTGAACATGTCACTCCCCATTCAAAACACTTTCAATGGCTCCTCCATGCCTATAGGGGGGCATTCATGGTCCTTACACGTTGACTTCCAATCTTCTTATATATTCCCCAGTGAGTCACATTAATAAAATCCTTTTACTCCAGCCCAATTGAGTTTATTCAGTCCTCCCAAACCCTACTACCTCCCCAATTCCCAACATACCTTACATCAGGGGTCGCAAACTTGCAAATAGGGGCCAGGTCAGTAAATGAAGATTAGCACAGTTGCTAATTAACACATATGTAGGGTAAACATCCACCCAACAGGGATAGAATGAGTGGCAGTTACTTCACTCTTGCTCATTTGCCACGCAGGAACATGAGCTCACGGTTACCACATCACTAACTTTTCAATAGAGAATCAACTTTTATGAAAACTTTTACAAGTTGTTAACTAATTCCAATTTTTTTAAAACATTGCATAGATTAAATATTAACACATCTACAGGCCTTCACCAGCATACAGGCTGCCTGTTTGCGACCTCTGCCTTACACTTCCTCCCCCCATACTCTGCCTACTCTGTCCATCTACCTGGAAAGGCCACCCCCATCTTTCTTTCAAACTTAAATTCATCCTTTAAAACACATCCTAAATCCCATCTCCTCTAAAAGCCCTGCCTGGCTATCTGCACTTACCGTCATCGTCTCTCCCTCTAATTCATTCAAACATTTATTAAGCATCTACTCTCTGCCAGGCACTAAAATCCCAAGGAAGAATAATAAAAATTATATACTGAAAATTTCTCAAATTCTACCAATTATTATCTAGACAATTTATATGATACTCAACCAATCACATAGTGGCATTTCTTCTATGACTATTTCAAAGCTGTTTCTTAAATTAACTGCTATCTAACTTTTATATAATTTAATCTTCTTATAAACTAGATTATAGGTAGAAAATCATTATTTTTTAAAAAGCATGGCTTTTGGAGTCAAACAGATCTTAATTCAAATACCAGATCTACCTCTCTGTGTGACCTTGGGTAAGTCACTTATTCCCTGAGTATTAGTTTCCTTGTCTATTAAAAAAGAAAGGGGTAGGGGCACATAGTATTGACCTCACAAGATTACTGTGAGGATTGAGTACGCTCTCAAACAAAGTGCCTGGCACGTAGTAGGTGCTCAAACTACTTCCCTTCTCCCCTTTACTTCCCCATCCTTGGAAAAGGAATCATATCTTACATGTCTTTGTATTTCCAACAGAGTCTACGAGAGAGTAGGTGCTCAAACTGCTATTAATTTGTATACGGTCTAGTACTAAAAAAAAAAATGGAAAGAAGTGCTACTGAGAAAGGGAAAGACAATAACAAAAGAAGTGACAGGATTCAGTGACTTTAGATATGGGGCACACGGGATAAAAATGGGGTGGGTTTCTATTCCCATATCATAGAAATTGTTCTCATTAAGTGACAAATGGCCCCATTATCAAATCCAGTGGACTTTTTAGTCCTTGTCTTACTTTCTGCAGCATGACACTGTTGACTACTCTCTTCTCAAAAAATTCTCTTTTCTTGGTCTCTGATATCATACCAATAACCTTTATGGGAGATCTTCCCTCACAGGTTCTTATTCTTTCTATTTTTCTTTTTTTTAAGAGAGATTTTGCTATAGGGTGCATGTGCTCGCCAGTGAGACAGAGACAGAGGAGAGAGACAGAGAGACATAAAGCAAGAAACCATCGCAGGGGTCAGGAGAGTGGCCACACGGCAATCCCTTCTCCTCCATTCTCCTCTCAGGATCTTGGGCAAGCATGCACATGCTCCTGGAATGAGTTTTAAGCTACCAGATCTGAAACTTGAACTGCAGTCAACTATGTGGAGTCCAGCGATGTAACCATTACACCATCTGCTGGTCCCCCTATTCTTCTTTCTGTCCCTTAAATGTTGGAGTTCAGGACTCCACTCCTGGCTGCCTTCTTATTTATGTATTTTTCCCCAAAGCAAGCTAATCTATTCATATTACTTTGTCACTTGATAATTCATAAACAGGTATCACTAGTGTAGATTTCTCTACCTTTCTGACTCATATTGCACATCTCTATTTGAATAAACCACAAGTATCCCAAGGTCAATGTATCCAAGTATATTTTCTCTCATTTAGTCCCCCAAAAATCTATTTCTTTTTCAATCTTTTCATATCTTTTAACATT